GGAAGGGGAAAGAAAAAAGGAGGGGCACGGGGAAGGAGAAGGAGAAGGGAAGGTAGGGAGAAGGGGAAGGAGAAAAGGAGGGGTAACGGGGGGGGAAGTAGAAGGAGGAAGAAGAGAAGAAGGAGGCAAATGAGGGTAACGGGGAAGGTGGAGAAGGAGAAAGATAAAAGGAGGAAGACGGGGAAGGAGGAGAAAGGCAGAGGGACGGGGAAGTAGGAAAAGAGGGGAACGGGGAAGGAGGAGAAAAGGAGGGGGACTGGGAATAATAATAATGATAGTGATAAGAAGAACAAGGAGAAGATAAAAGGAGGGAGACAGAAAAGGTGAAGGAGAAGGCGAATGAGGGAAGGGGAGGGGACGTGGGCGGGGGCACGAGTTCGGGAAGAAGGAAGGGACGGACGCGCGCGGGCGGCGGGAGCGCCTGCGAGATTGGGTGGCCACAACAAGGGGTCGCGTCATACAGCCGATAATTAATCAGGCTTCAGAGAATAGATTCAACCCATGTCTTCTCCCCGTCCCCCTCCCCCTCTTCCACCAGTTCTTCTAATCTCCCCCGCCCTGCCCCTTCCACCCTGTCGACCCGCCCTCTCCTCCCTTCTGCCCAGTCTCGGCTCGGATGCGTTTTAGGAAGCCGCTGTCCTCTCGCCGAGAGGCTGTTCTCCCTGGATGCTGTGGCACGTGTAGTTTTCCGTATCAATATCGGTTTGTGAATTAGACGTTTCCAGAGCTTTTTCCTTTCCGGGTGCAAGTCCTCATCTGGACCCCCCCCTCCTGCGCCCCAGCCTTCCCCTACACACCCACAGGGCCTGCTTGCGCACCTCCTCCGGCCATGCTTCACCGACATCCGAAAAGGGGTCTGTTCCCCGCCCTTCGGTTCATCAGCACCGTTGTGGGCTCATTCCGCTCGGAGGGCGCACTTCCTCGGCGCTGCGCCCATATATGTGCAGGCCCAGCATGCCGGTGTGTCTGCGGGTTGGCGGTTATACGCGCAGATGCATCGCTTTGGAGGATCCAGTAAGTTCGCCCCTTAGAACACCGCCGATCGGATCAAAATTAAGGGAGATACCTTAGCAAATGCTCAGCAGGAGCGCAAATTTGGGGTGGGGTTGTGCGCAACAGGATCTCTTACAACGGGGGGCGCTAGTGGTAAGAGGAGGATAGGATATAAGAAACTCAAGGTATAAACGACGAAGTACAGTCAGATTGCGTAATCCATAACCGTCACTCCATAAGCTTCTATTGCGTCACGTGTTCCCAACTCGAGATTCAAGCTAGTTCACATTATATAAACACACAACACAAATATGTAATCACACTGATCCTCTTATAAAATCTATAGATGTGAGAGAAGATTGATGAGCTGACGAGAGAGACGAGAGAGAGAAGAGACTCACTCAATCCACCATCAAGTCATCAGCATTATCCACACACACACCACCCAACGACACCACAAAAGGGGAGAGAGAGAGAGAGACACACACACAACGACACTAAGCCGTCAGATGAGAAGAGAGATGACGACAGTCCTACCGTACCGAGAGAGAGACAGCAGACGTCTGCAATCGCACTCATAGAGAGGAGAGAGAGTTAGCTTAGTCCATCAGTCATCCTCAGCAGATGTCCTCACTTCATCCAACTCACGTAAGACACGTCATCGGCACGACTAAGTTCACGGAAAAGGAGTGATAGAGAGAGTGAGCGCAGAGAGGAGAGCATTCGATCGGATATCGATGACGAGTATGTCCATCACTCACTGTCAAATCAAACACGAGAGTGTGAGGAGAGGGGGCAACAAGAGAGGGTCACACGCAACAACTGAGGAGCAACGAACGTGAGCAGGACGCAGGGCAGATAGAGAGAGACGGCGAGCAAGGGCAGGCAACGAGACCCCGCCGCACATGCACGCATTCCACCGTACAGTGGGGGACAGAGACATGTAAACACGCGGCGGCAAAACGGCACACCGAACGACTCGACAAGTATCACTAGAGCAATCCTTCAACGACCAGAGCCTCAATGACTGAGAGAGCACTCAGCATCCGTACATGAGCAAGTCGCATCAGGTAAGCATATGAGAGAGAGAGACTGCACGAGGAGTAAGAGAATTGACATCACGTCTCTCGAACAGGACAGCACCAAGAGCAACAGAGAGAGACACACAGCAAACAACGCACCACACAAAGCACACTAGAGAGAAGAGTGACACACACACACGAGCCAGTGACAGCACAACAGCAGTGCAGCACAAACACGACACACGGCGGCGCGGCGCGCAGCGGCTGCGGAAGAGAGCAGAGGTGAACAGCCGAAAGACTTCGACTCAATTCAGTGTCTAACGTCATGGACACAACCTACGCGGGCGCACACACGCACAGTAGCAGAGATGCATATGGAACGAGAGAGAAGAGAGAGAGAGGCGGAGACAGACGAAGGCCCCGAGACACGCCTACACGTCCCAACGTAGCAGCATTAGTTGGAGAGGAGAGAGAGAAGGCCCTGGAAGAGTGAGAAGAGACACGTCCACTTTATGGGTGATAATGGGCGAAGGATGGGAGGGGCGGTTGGCTAAACCTCTCCTTTCTTTCTCTCTCTTCTGTCTTTTTACTCGCCCTTTCTTATATAATATTGCCTCTCTCTCTCTTCATCTTTGTTTCCTTTCCGTCTCTCCCATTTCTCTGTCCCTTCCCCCTTTTCTCTTCTCCTCGCCTCACTTCTTCCCACTTGTCCTTTTTTTCCTTTCCTTTCTTTCCTCCCTCATTCCCACCTCCCCCTCTTTCGTTCCACTTTTCCTCCCTCACTC